CAATGACCAGCCAATGACCAATGAAGGACCAATCAAGGATCAGTCAATGACCAGCCAATGACAAATCAAGGACCAATCGACCAATCAAGGACCAGTCAATGACCAGCCAATGACCAATCAAGGACCAATCGACCAATCAAGGACCAGTCAATGACCAGCCAATGACAAATCAAGGATCAGTCAATGACCAGCCAATGACCAATCAAGGACCAATCAAGGATCAGTCAATGACCAGCCAATGACAAATCAAGGACCAATCGACCAATCAAGGACCAGTCAATGACCAGCCAATGACCAATCAAGGACCAGTCAATGACCAGCCAATGACAAATCAAGGGCCAATCAAGGATCAGTCAATGACCAGCCAATGACCAATCAAGGACCAATCGACCAATCAAGGACCAGTCAATGACCAGCCAATGACCAATCAAGGACCAGTCAAGGACCAGCCAATGACAAATCAAGGACCAATCAAGGATCAGTCAATGACCAGCCAATGACAAATCAAGGACCAATCGACCAATCAAGGACCAGTCAATGACCAGCCAATGACAAATCAAGGACCAATCGACCAATCAAGGACCAGTCAATGACCAACCAATGACCAATCAAGGACCAGTCAAGGACCAGCCAATGACAAATCAAGGACCAATCAAGGACCAGTCAATGACCAGCCAATGACAAATCAAGGACCAATCAAGGATCAGTCAATGACCAGCCAATGACCAATCAAGGACTAATCGACCAATCAAGGATCAGTCAATGACAAGCCAATGACAAATCAAGGACCAATCGACCAATCAAGGATCAGTCAATGACCAGCCAATGACCAATCAAGGACCAGTCAATGACCAGCCAATGACCAATCAAGGAACAATCAAGGATCAGGCAATGACCAGCCAATGACCAATCAAGGACCAATCAAGGATCAGGCAATGACCAGCCAATGACCAATCAAGGACCAGTCAATGACCAGCCAATGACCAATCAAGGACCAATCAAGGATCAGTCAATGACCAGCCAATGACCAATCAAGGACCAGTCAATGACCAGCCAATGACAAATCAAGGACCAATCAAGGATCAGTCAATGACCAGCCAATGACCAATCAAGGACCAATCGATCAATCAAGGATCAGTCAATGACAAGCCAATGACAAATCAAGGACCAATCGACCAATCAAGGACCAGTCAATGACCAGCCAATGACCAATCAAGGACCAGTCAATGACCAGCCAATGACAAATCAAGGACCAATCAAGGATCAGTCAATGACCAGCCAATGACAAATGAAGGACCAATCGACCAATCAAGGACCAGTCAATGACCAGCCAATGACCAATCAAGGACCAATCAAGGATCAGTCAATGACCAGCCAATGACCAATCAAGGACCAATTGATCAATCAAGGATCAGTCAATGACAAGCCAATGACAAATCAAGGACCAATCGACCAATCAAGGACCAGTCAATGACCAGCCAATGACCAATCAAGGACCAGTCAATGACCAGCCAATGACAAATCAAGGACCAATCAAGGATCAGTCAATGACCAGCCAATGACAAATCAAGGACCAATCGACCAATCAAGGACCAGTCAATGACCAGCCAATGACCAATCAAGGACCAGTCAAGGACCAGCCAATGACAAATCAAGGACCAATCAAGGATCAGTCAATGACCAGCCAATGACAAATCAAGGATCAGTCAATGACCAGCCAATGACCAATGAAGGACCAATCAAGGATCAGTCAATGACCAGCCAATGACAAATCAAGGACCAATCGACCAATCAAGGACCAGTCAATGACCAACCAATGACCAATCAAGGACCAGTCAAGGACCAGCCAATGACAAATCAAGGACCAATCAAGGACCAGTCAATGACCAGCCAATGACAAATCAAGGACCAATCAAGGATCAGTCAATGACCAGCCAATGACCAATCAAGGACCAATCGACCAATCAAGGATCAGTCAATGACAAGCCAATGACAAATCAAGGACCAATCGACCAATCAAGGATCAGTCAATGACCAGCCAATGACCAATCAAGGACCAGTCAATGACCAGCCAATGACCAATCAAGGACCAATCAAGGATCAGGCAATGACCAGCCAATGACCAATCAAGGACCAATCAAGGATCAGGCAATGACCAGCCAATGACCAATCAAGGACCAGTCAATGACCAGCCAATGACCAATCAAGGACCAATCAAGGATCAGTCAATGACCAGCCAATGACCAATCAAGGACCAGTCCAATGACCAGCCAATGACAAATCAAGGACCAATCAAGGATCAGTCAATGACCAGCCAATGACCAATCAAGGACCAATCGATCAATCAAGGATCAGTCAATGACAAGCCAATGACAAATCAAGGACCAATCGACCAATCAAGGACCAGTCAATGACCAGCCAATGACCAATCAAGGACCAGTCAATGACCAGCCAATGACAAATCAAGGACCAATCAAGGATCAGTCAATGACCAGCCAATGACAAATCAAGGACCAATCGACCAATCAAGGACCAGTCAATGACCAGCCAATGACCAATCAAGGACCAGTCAAGGACCAGCCAATGACAAATCAAGGACCAATCAAGGATCAGTCAATGACCAGCCAATGACAAATCAAGGATCAGTCAATGACCAGCCAATGACCAATGAAGGACCAATCAAGGATCAGTCAATGACCAGCCAATGACAAATCAAGGACCGATCGACCAATCAAGGACCAGTCAATGACCAGCCAATGACCAATCAAGGACCAATCGACCAATCAAGGACCAGTCAATGACCAGCCAATGACCAATCAAGGACCAGTCAATGACCAGCCAATGACAAATCAAGGGCCAATCAAGGATCAGTCAATGACCAGCCAATGACCAATCAAGGACCAATCGACCAATCAAGGACCAGTCAATGACCAGCCAATGACCAATCAAGGACCAGTCAAGGACCAGCCAATGACAAATCAAGGACCAATCAAGGATCAGTCAATGACCAGCCAATGACAAATCAAGGACCAATCGACCAATCAAGGACCAGTCAATGACCAGCCAATGACAAATCAAGGACCAATCGACCAATCAAGGACCAGTCAATGACCAACCAATGACCAATCAAGGACCAGTCAAGGACCAGCCAATGACAAATCAAGGACCAATCAAGGACCAGTCAATGACCAGCCAATGACAAATCAAGGACCAATCAAGGATCAGTCAATGACCAGCCAATGACCAATCAAGGACTAATCGACCAATCAAGGATCAGTCAATGACAAGCCAATGACAAATCAAGGACCAATCGACCAATCAAGGATCAGTCAATGACCAGCCAATGACCAATCAAGGACCAGTCAATGACCAGCCAATGACCAATCAAGGAACAATCAAGGATCAGGCAATGACCGGCCAATGACCAATCAAGGACCAATCAAGGATCAGGCAATGACCAGCCAATGACCAATCAAGGACCAGTCAATGACCAGCCAATGACCAATCAAGGACCAATCAAGGATCAGTCAATGACCAGCCAATGACCAATCAAGGACCAGTCAATGACCAGCCAATGACAAATCAAGGACCAATCAAGGATCAGTCAATGACCAGCCAATGACCAATCAAGGACCAATCGATTAATCAAGGATCAGTCAATGACAAGCCAATGACAAATCAAGGACCAATCGACCAATCAAGGACCAGTCAATGACCAGCCAATGACCAATCAAGGACCAGTCAATGACCAGCCAATGACAAATCAAGGACCAATCAAGGATCAGTCAATGACCAGCCAATGACAAATCAAGGACCAATCGACCAATCAAGGACCAGTCAATGACCAGCCAATGACCAATCAAGGACCAGTCAAGGACCAGCCGATGACAAATCAAGGACCAATCAAGGATCAGTCAATGACCAGCCAATGACAAATCAAGGATCAGTCAATGACCAGCCAATGACCAATGAAGGACCAATCAAGGATCAGTCAATGACCAGCCAATGACAAATCAAGGACCAATCGACCAATCAAGGACCAGTCAATGACCAGCCAATGACCAATCAAGGACCAATCGACCAATCAAGGACCAGTCAATGACCAGCCAATGACAAATCAAGGATCAGTCAATGACCAATCAAGGACCAATCAAGGATCAGTCAATGACCAGCCAATGACAAATCAAGGACCAATCGACCAATCAAGGACCAGTCAATGACCAGCCAATGACAAATCAAGGGCCAATCAAGGATCAGTCAATGACCAGCCAATGACCAATCAAGGACCAATCGACCAATCAAGGACCCTTGAAGGAAAGTGGGGAATGGCTACTACTGTATCTCTTACCCAGAATCCACTGGGGTTATTTCATGTGAAGCTATCTGCCCAGTTGTTGCTAAGCTACAGACACTATTAATCTGTAGCTGATTTAGACTCAATAAGAAGTAAAAAGGAAACATTGATCAATCCTTAAATTGCAGGATGTTGGTAAATATTCTCCGTTTAAACCTAAAGCATTTGATTTTGCAGCCTCTGTCATTCATGGATGCTTTCATTCAGCGCATCCCTACTGCTATGAAAGACTTCATGCAGACAGACTGACATGATCACTGCAGAGGACAGACAGACAGCTTTCCCACAATGCATCAGCACAATATGCATCAAGTTAAAAACATCACAGAAGCATCGTGCACTCCTATCAACTCCTCACATTTATCACATATATGTAAATGCACTGAGGACTACCGATGGAAAAATAATCTCATATAATGGTAAAGTAAAAAAAAAAAAATGTTTCTATGACATCAGTGCAGAAATAAGGAAGTTTTAGCTTCACATGGCGGCAGCTTAGCCATACATGGAGACGCCCGACTGAACAAAACCAAACCGAAACGGATAAAAGTGTGAAATCAGCAAACGGTGAAAGAATGAAGGAGAGAAAAGAAGGAGTGACGATACAGAGAGGAATATCTGAGTGAATCAGAGAGGAAGTTTATACCTCAGTAGTCCTATTGACCATCATCTGATGCAGGGGGGGGAGGGGGGGAGAGAGCAGTTCAGTTAGGATTAGAACTCACTATAGACCGAGCTCAGCAGTGACATGGCTAGAGCGGCTCCTGGATCTCACAACATGGCGGCCCTCAGATGCTTCCATGCTGAAATTATTACAGCTTCAATGGAAAATATCTAAATATGGAATCAGATCAAAGTCGCTGGTGAAGATTCTCAGTCATCAAGGTTATAGTTATTACAGAAAAGTTCAAATCAATCCACTGGACTCTGTTTCCAAGTCTCAGGACGTTTCTCTTCCATCCAGGAAGATTTTTCAAATGTCAGAAATAGCGTTTAGTTCCAGGTTTTATCCAGCAGCCCAACAAAGCCTGGTTTTAGTTTAGAAAAAATGCAAATAGAAACGGATGAACGGGTCCCCCCCTTTGGAATGGGGGTCGTTTGGCCTCACAAACGGGATCATCTGATCAAACTCCACTGGAAACGGCTCCGATTCACGGGAAACGGCTCCGATTCACGGGAAACGGCTCCGATTCACGGGAAACGGCTCCGACTCACAGGAAACGGCTCCGATTCACGGGAAACGGCTCCGATTCACAGGAAACGGCTCCGATTCACGGGAAACGGCTCCGACTCACAGGAAACGGCTCCGATTCACGGGAAACGGCTCCGATTCACGGGAAACGACTCCGATTCACAGGAAACAGCTCCGATTTATAGGAAACGGCTCCGATTCACGGGAAACGGCTCCGATTCACAGGAAACGGCTCCGATTCACGGGAAACGGCTCCGATTCACGGGAAACGGCTCCGATTCACGGGAAACGGCTCCGACTCACAGGAAACGGCTCCGATTCACGGGAAACGGCTCCGATTCACAGGAAACGGCTCCGATTCACGGGAAACGGCTCCGACTCACAGGAAACGGCTCCGATTCACGGGAAACGGCTCCGATTCACAGGAAACAGCTCCGATTTATAGGAAACGGCTCCGATTCACGGGAAACGGCTCCGATTCACAGGAAACGGCTCCGATTTATAGGAAACGGCTCCGATTCACGGGAAACGGCTCCGATTCACAGGAAACGGCTCCGATTCACGGGAAACGGCTCCGACTCACGGGAAACGGCTCCGATTCACGGGAAACGCCTCCGATTCACGGGAAACGGCTCCGATTCACGGGAAACGGCTCCGATTTACAGGAAACGGCTCCGATTTACAGGAAACGGCTCCGATTCACAGGAAACGGCTCCGATTCACAGGAAACGGCTCCCATTCACGGGAAACGGCTCCGATTCACGGGAAACGACTCCGATTCACGGGAAACGGCTCTGATTCACGGGAAACGGCTCCGACTCACGGGAAACGGCTCCGATTCACAGGAAACGGCCTATAATTCACAGGAAACGGCTCCGATTCACAGGAAACGGCTCCGGTTCACAGAAAACGGCTCAGATTCACAGGAAACGGCTCCGATTCACGGGAAACGGCTCCGATTCACAGGAAACGGCTCCGATTTATAGGAAACGGCTCCGATTCACGGGAAAGGGCTCCGATTCACAGGAAACGGCTCCGATTCACGGGAAACGGCTCCGACTCACAGGAAACGGCTCCGATTCACGGGAAACGGCTCCGATTCACGGGAAACGGCTCCGATTCACGGGAAACGGCTCCGATTTACAGGAAACGGCTCCGATTTACAGGAAACGGCTCCGATTCACGGGAAACGGCTCCGATTCACGGGAAACGGCTCCCATTCACGGGAAACGGCTCCGATTCACGGGAAACGACTCCGATTCACGGGAAACGGCTCTGATTCACGGGAAACGGCTCCGACTCACGGGAAACGGCTCCGATTCACAGGAAACGGCCTATAATTCACAGGAAACGGCTCCGATTCACAGGAAACGGCTCCGATTCACGGGAAACGACTCCGATTCACGGGAAACGGCTCTGATTCACGGGAAACGGCTCCGACTCACGGGAAACGGCTCCGATTCACAGGAAACGGCCTATAATTCACAGGAAACGGCTCCGATTCACAGGAAACGGCTCCGATTCACGGGAAACGACTCCGATTCACGGGAAACGGCTCTGATTCACGGGAAACGGCTCCGACTCACGGGAAACGGCTCCGATTCACAGGAAACGGCCTATAATTCACAGGAAACGGCTCCGATTTACAGGAAACGGCTCCGATTCACAGGAAACGGCTCCGATTCACAGGAAACGGCTCCCATTCACGGGAAACGGCTCAGATTCACGGGAAACGGCTCAGATTCACGGGAAACGACTCCGATTCACGGGAAACGGCTCTGATTCACGGGAAACGGCTCCGACTCACGGGAAACGGCTCCGATTCACAGGAAACGGCCTATAATTCACAGGAAACGGCTCCGATTCACAGGAAACGGCTCCGGTTCACAGGAAACGGCTCCGATTCACAGGAAACGGCCTATGATTCACACGAAACGGCTCCGATTCACAGGAAACGGCTCCGATTCACAGGAAACGGCTCAGATTCACAGGAAACGGCTCCGATTCACGGGAAACGGCTCCGGTTCACAGGAAACGGCTACGATTCACAGGTTGCTTTCTGAGAACCAACAGGATCCCTTCAAGGAACAGTAACTGTTAGCAGCTTCAGGCTAACCATCAGTCCTGAGAGGCGGAAGCAGCTCTGCTTCACCTATGAACCCTAAGAAGAAGCATCTGGTGATTCCAGAGGAGATCCTGAAAGTTCAGGGAAAGTTCAGGGAAACCTTACAGTTGTGGGAATGAACTCGGCCTTGTTGGTTTTAGCGGTGGCTCTGCGGCTGGGCGGCGGCCAGATGTTCTCAGTTGGCCTGAATCGCTCACTCAGAACGCCGACTGTAGATTCTATTCAGTTTATTTCTATAGCTCCAATTCACATCATCTCAGGTCACTTTATAGATCCAGATCAACCAGATCATCCAGTCAGATTGATTCAAAGTTTTCTATCTAAGGAAAACCAGCTGATTGCATCGACTCATTGACTCTTCAGCAATCCCTCACACTAAGCATGCTTGTAGCGACAGTGGAGAGGAAAAACTCCCTTTGAACAGGAAGAAACCTCCAGCAGAACCAGGCTCAGTGTGAGCGGCCATCTGCTGAGGCCCACTGGGGTTCAAGGAGACAGAAGCATAGATCTAACCTGATCGCAGGTTCTGCTGGGACAGGAAGTCCCGCCTCCACCTGCACAGGCTTCTTTAATCAACTACAGTTTTTCTTTCAGCAGTTCCTCTAGTTTTAACGAACTTTGGGTAAATGACCTCAGCAGAGGAAGCAGATGTAGGAAATCACTCAGAGGAAGACCTGACTTTAGCTTCAGACTGGAGTTTTACGCCGTGGTTTAATTTGACCTCTGATTCAGGTAGATCTACAGAGGTGGAACCATTCAGTGATTCTGACTGAATCATAAAGCATAGAGCAGCCTGGGGTTCCTAATGTGGAGCATCAACACCTCCCAGGAGGAGCTGAAACATGAATACAGGAACAGGAAGCAGTCAGAGACAGGAGGAACTGAGGTGAGCCGCCATGTTAAAGCCACCTGATGATGTCAGCGGACAGGGAAACCCCGCCCATGTCCAGCTGACGGTCAGAAACATTCAGATCATTCCAGGTGTTTGCATGCAGCCTTAGATAGGATCCAACCTGCAGACAGTGACACGCTCCATGCACGGGACATTGCTACACTTAGACATCGGCGCAGCGAGACAAAAGGGAAAAGAAGGAGAAAGCGGTTAGTGGCTGTACGGACAGACTGACAGAAACAGACACAGATGGAAAACAGACACTCTACTAACATCTATGCAGATTAGAACAGATTAGTGCTGCTGACACCGACTAGTTCATCATGGCCGTTATCCTGCATCTGATTCAACACGGCATCAATACTGCCAGGAAATGCATCAATCCTGACTAATCTGGATCAGCCTGGACTAATCTGGTTCAGGATGGGCTGATCTGGTTCAGGATGGACTGATCTGGTTCAGGATGGACTGATCTGGTTCAGGATGGGCTGATCTGGTTCAGGATGGACTGATCTGGTTCAGAATGGACTGATCTGGTTCAGGATGGGCTGATCTGGTTCAGGATGGGCTGATCTGGTTCAGGATGGGCTGATCTGGTTCAGGATGGACTGATCTGGTTCAGCCTGGACTGAACTGGTTCAGGATGGGCTGATCTGGTTCAGGATGGACTGATCTGGCTCAGAATGGACTGATCTGGTTCAGGATGGGCTGATCTGGTTCAGGATGGGCTGATCTGGTTCAGGATGGGCTGATCTGGTTCAGGATGGACTGATCTGGTTCAGCCTGGACTGAACTGGTTCAGGATGGACTGAACTGGATCAGCCTGGACTAATCTGGATCAGCCTGGACTGAACTGGATCAGCCTGGACTGAACTGGTTCAGGATGGACTGAACTGGATCAGCCTGGACTAATCTGGATCAGCCTGGACTGATCTGGATAAGCCTGGACTAATCTGGATCAGCCTGGACTAAATTAGACTGAACTGGATCTTCCTGGACTGAACTGGATCTGCCTGGACTAATCTGGTTCAGAATGGACTAATATGGTTCAGGCTGGACTAAATTGGACTGAACTGGATCTGCCTGGACTGAACTGGATCTGCCTGGACTGATCTGGATCAGCCTGGACTAATCTGGTTCAGCCTGGTCTAATCTGTTTTAGGATGGACTGATCTGGTTCAGGCTGAGTAATATGGTTCATCTGGTTCAGGATGGACTGAACTGCATCTGCCTGGACTAATCTGGTTCAGGATGGACTAATATGGTTCAGTATGGACTGATCTGGTTCAGGATGGACTAATCTGGTACAGGATGGTCTGATTTGGTTCAAGATGGACTAATATGGTTCAGGATGGACTGATTTGGTTCAAGATGGACTAATATGGTTCAGGATGGACTGATCTGGTTCAGGATGGACTAATCTGGTACAGGATGGTCTGATTTGGTTCAGGATGGACTGATCTGGTTCAGGATGGACTAATATGGTTCAGGATGGACTGATCTGGTTCAGGATGGACTAATCTGGTACAGGATGGTCTGATTTGGTTCAAGATAGACTAATATGGTTCAGGATGGTCTGATTTGGTTCAGGATGGACTGATCTGGTTCAGGATGGACTAATATGGTTCAGGATGGACTGATCTGGTTCAGGATGGACTAATCTGGTACAGGATGGTCTGATCTGGTTCAGGATGGGCTGATCTGGTTCAGGATGGACTGATCTGGCTCAGAATGGACTGATCTGGTTCAGGATGGGCTGATCTGGTTCAGGATGGGCTGATCTGGTTCAGGATGGGCTGATCTGGTTCAGGATGGACTGATCTGGTTCAGCCTGGACTGAACTGGTTCAGGATGGACTGAACTGGATCAGCCTGGACTAATCTGGATCAGCCTGGACTGAACTGGATCAGCCTGGACTGAACTGGTTCAGGATGGACTGAACTGGATCAGCCTGGACTAATCTGGATCAGCCTGGACTGATCTGGATCAGCCTGGACTAATCTGGATCAGCCTGGACTAAATTAGACTGAACTGGATCTTCCTGGACTGAACTGGATCTGCCTGGACTAATCTGGTTCAGAATGGACTAATATGGTTCAGGCTGGACTAAATTGGACTGAACTGGATCTGCCTGGACTGAACTGGATCTGCCTGGACTGAACTGGATCAGCCTGGACTAATCTGGTTCAGCCTGGTCTAATCTGTTTTAGGATGGACTGATCTGGTTCAGGCTGAGTAATATGGTTCATCTGGTTCAGGATGGACTGAACTGCATCTGCCTGGACTAATCTGGTTCAGGATGGACTAATATGGTTCAGTATGGACTGATCTGGTTCAGGATGGACTAATCTGGTTCAGGATGGACTAATATGGTTCAGTATGGACTGATCTGGTTCAGGATGGACTAATCTGGTACAGGATGGTCTGATTTGGTTCAAGATGGACTAATATGGTTCAGGATGGACTGATCTGGTTCAGGATGGACTAATCTGGTACAGGATGGTCTGATTTGGTTCAGGATGGACTGATCTGGTTCAGGATGGACTAATATGGTTCAGGATGGACTGATCTGGTTCAGGATGGACTAATCTGGTACAGGATGGTCTGATTTGGTTCAAGATAGACTAATATGGCTCAGAATGGACTGATCTGGTTCAGGATGGGCTGATCTGGTTCAGGATGGGCTGATCTGGTTCAGGATGGACTGATCTGGTTCAGCCTGGACTGAACTGGTTCAGGATGGACTGAACTGGATCAGCCTGGACTAATCTGGATCAGCCTGGACTGAACTGGATCAGCCTGGACTGAACTGGTTCAGGATGGACTGAACTGGATCAGCCTGGACTAATCTGGATCAGCCTGGACTGATCTGGATCAGCCTGGACTAATCTGGATCAGCCTGGACTAAATTAGACTGAACTGGATCTTCCTGGACTGAACTGGATCTGCCTGGACTAATCTGGTTCAGAATGGACTAATATGGTTCAGGCTGGACTAAATTGGACTGAACTGGATCTGCCTGGACTGAACTGGATCTGCCTGGACTGAACTGGATCAGCCTGGACTAATCTGGTTCAGCCTGGTCTAATCTGTTTTAGGATGGACTGATCTGGTTCAGGCTGAGTAATATGGTTCATCTGGTTCAGGATGGACTGAACTGCATCTGCCTGGACTAATCTGGTTCAGGATGGACTAATATGGTTCAGTATGGACTGATCTGGTTCAGGATGGACTAATCTGGTTCAGGATGGACTAATATGGTTCAGTATGGACTGATCTGGTTCAGGATGGACTAATCTGGTACAGGATGGTCTGATTTGGTTCAAGATGGACTAATATGGTTCAGGATGGACTGATCTGGTTCAGGATGGACTAATCTGGTACAGGATGGTCTGATTTGGTTCAGGATGGACTGATCTGGTTCAGGATGGACTAATATGGTTCAGGATGGACTGATCTGGTTCAGGATGGACTAATCTGGTACAGGATGGTCTGATTTGGTTCAAGATAGACTAATATGGCTCAGAATGGACTGATCTGGTTCAGGATGGGCTGATCTGGTTCAGGATGGGCTGATCTGGTTCAGGATGGACTGATCTGGTTCAGCCTGGACTGAACTGGTTCAGGATGGACTGAACTGGATCAGCCTGGACTAATCTGGATCAGCCTGGACTGAACTGGATCAGCCTGGACTGAACTGGTTCAGGATGGACTGAACTGGATCAGCCTGGACTAATCTGGATCAGCCTGGACTGATCTGGATCAGCCTGGACTAATCTGGATCAGCCTGGACTAAATTAGACTGAACTGGATCTTCCTGGACTGAACTGGATCTGCCTGGACTAATCTGGTTCAGAATGGACTAATATGGTTCAGGCTGGACTAAATTGGACTGAACTGGATCTGCCTGGACTGAACTGGATCTGCCTGGACTGAACTGGATCAGCCTGGACTAATCTGGTTCAGCCTGGTCTAATCTGTTTTAGGATGGACTGATCTGGTTCAGGCTGAGTAATATGGTTCATCTGGTTCAGGATGGACTGAACTGCATCTGCCTGGACTAATCTGGTTCAGGATGGACTAATATGGTTCAGTATGGACTGATCTGGTTCAGGATGGACTAATCTGGTTCAGGATGGACTAATATGGTTCAGTATGGACTGATCTGGTTCAGGATGGACTAATCTGGTACAGGATGGTCTGATTTGGTTCAAGATGGACTAATATGGTTCAGGATGGACTGATCTGGTTCAGGATGGACTAATCTGGTACAGGATGGTCTGATTTGGTTCAGGATGGACTGATCTGGTTCAGGATGGACTAATATGGTTCAGGATGGACTGATCTGGTTCAGGATGGACTAATCTGGTACAGGATGGTCTGATTTGGTTCAAGATAGACTAATATGGTTCAGGATGGTCTGATTTGGTTCAGGATGGACTGATCTGGTTCAGGATGGACTAATATGATTCAGGATGGACTGATCTGGTTCAGGATGGACTAATCTGGTACAGGATGGTCTGATTTGGTTCAAGATGGACTAATATGGTTCAGGATGGTCTGATTTGGTTCAGGATGGACTAATATGGTTCAGGATGGACTAATCTGGTACAGGATGGTCTGATTTGGTTCAGGATGGACTGGTCTGGTTCAGGATGGACTGATCTGGTTCAGGATGGTCTGATTTGGTTCAGGATGGACTAATATGGTTCAGGATGGACTGATCTGGTTCAGGATGCAGAGAAAAAACATTCACAGAGCTCTGGCCTGACCTGCTGTCACTTTGCTGCTTAAACTCGCTGTAGAAAAACCTTCTTCATCATAGCATCCCTCCAAGAAACAACAAACTATTATATCCGACCGGCTACAGCGAAGCATTAAATCTGAACTCCTCTGGGATTATCGCTGAGCTTTCTGACCAACAGAGAATATAGAGGAGCAGAAAAAGCAAAGGAGGTGGATTAGCAGCAGGAGTCGTTCAGGGTGCTGTCCCGTTTCATCTCTGCTGTTAGGACTTGTTCTTGGTTCAGATTATTTACCCAGAGAGTTTAAAGCCTTTATGCTATGCTAGCTGCTGTCAATAATGCATGTGATGCTAACCAGTGTGAGGCCTTATTAGCGGTTAATAGGGGCCATCAGAGCTGATTCTAACAGAACAATCAGTCTGTTCCTTAGAAAACATTCAAGTTGATTTTTAGATTTAAACTTTTAAACAACAGGAGGGAGAAGTTTATTATGTTTCATATTACTGCAGACTGTTCATACCTCTGTTGTGAGGGAAAAATATTTTGGATATTTTTTCAGTTTGTGGACAATGACAAACTGATTCTGATGGCGTCTGCATGATGGCACAAAACTAACTGGTAAACCGGGCGGTTTGGCAGTTTTCCTTTGGCTCTTTTCCCCTGAAGAAAATTCACTTCATATAAACCTTCCTCTGAAGTAATGGGACCAAAGTTTAACAGCTTTAATCTAAACAGGCCAGATAATGTTGGTGGAGTCTGAAAAGGTGCCAATATCTCTCCATTCTTCTCCAGCTGTCGAGCTGAACGTCAGCGAAGAGGATTATTTTTAACCACTATCTATCAGCGGCTCATTTCAGGGATGCTGAGGAGGGAATTTGCAGCCAGTATCCATGGAAACGCATCGCCTTAGAAACCAAACTTGGCTGAAGTTTAGGAGCGGAGAGGATGGATCGTCCCGCCCCTCGGTCGGGATCGGGTGGGACAGGCTCTCCGTTACCACGGACGTTGGTTGAGATGGGATCCTCAGCTCCATCCAGTTTAAACCAGTTTAAACCAGTTAAAACCATCCAGTCTTATTATGGATTTGAAAGAAAAATGAAAACGAATCGTTTGGCGGTTTGACCTGGACAGGAACCCGATTAACCGCACTCTGCTGCTGAAACCACTAATGAATTTTCCTGATAAATGTGGCGACATTGAAGGAGCAACAATCCGATTTTCCTTTGGGAATGTTTATGTTTCTCAAACTAACTTCCTCCTTTGTGGCGTCCCTCCGTCAGACCGTGTTTAGAAGGTGTGAAGTAGGGAAGGATGTAAACCGCTTTAATTCTGACCTTTATTATCTAAGAGCCGACAGGTCCGTTCTCAGCCCCGGCGGCCATGTTTCAGGCGCTGACCTGGTCCAACTGACACACCTTGATGACAAGCTGAGCAGGTAAAAGGATTCGCTGAAGCGCAGCGTAACATCTGTTTGGCTGAAACTGGACAGGATCCAGTTAGCATAGTGGGAACAAGTCACCTCAACTCTATGGCCTCAAACTAACATCTAACAGAAGCCAGTAAAGGTCAGAGGTCGTCTCTACCAGCTGCATCATCAGCATCACTGTGGCTGCGAAGGAAAACAGACTTTATGCCCCTGCTGTTGGATGATGCTGATGTTGGTGTGTTTTAGAGCGACGCGTCACGGGTTAGCTAGCTAGAGCTGCCGTCCAATCAGGACGCTTCAAAGGAAGCACCGGGCTTCCACGCATGCCGAGCCCACGGCGAAGGACGGCCGTACCTTGGACTGGACGTCTGCGTTGTGGTCGTTCTGAAGGAGCAGCGCGGCCGACTTGGTGTCGTCTTTGCGTGCGGCGATGTGCAGGGCGGGCAGGCGGACTTTCCCTTTGGTGTCATTCTCCAGTAAGATGGAGACCACCTGGTTGTGTCCCTGCTGGAGGGCGATGGCCAGCGGGGTGAAGCCATCCTAGAGGGACGGTGGAGGAGCAAACGGATAAACATGCTGTCAGAACTCTGGCGGTCTGACCTGGGCGTACTCACCTCTGTAGCAATGCTCTGGTTGCCTCCGTTCTCCAGCAGGTAGCGAACCACGTCCAGGTGATTCTCCTGAGCCGCCATGTACAGAGGAGTGAATCCATTCTGGAAAGAAGAAACAGCAGCTGCTGGTTAAACACCAGCTTAGGTATCCATCCAGGACACGGAGAGGAAGGCAGCTTCACCTGAGACTGCGAGTTGATGTCAGCTCCTCTTTTGGTCAAGATCTTCACCACCTCAGCCTGACCAGCAAGGGAGGAAATGTGGAGGGCTGTGTTCCCTTTCTGGATCAACAGGAAACATCAGAAGAACATTCCAAAAAGGTTCAAATCAATCCACTGAGCTTTGTTTCCAGGTTTGAAGACGTTTCTCTTCCATCCAGGAAGCTTTTTCAGTTCAAAATGTCAGAAATAGCGTTTAGTTCCAGGCTTTGGCAAATCCAGTTCCTGAATCAAATGGCGGGTTACCTCCTCAAAAGGCAGCCAGTTCTTCCAGATTTCTCTTAATCACCTAATTATGTGATTCAGGTGTGTTGAACCAAAGGTAGATCTAAAAGTTGTAGGAACTGGAATTGCCCACCCCTGCTCCATACAGCAGCCCGACCAAGCCTTACTTTAGCTGAGACAACATGCAAACTGAGAACAGGAGACCTCACATGTACAGGTATGGGGCATTGCAGGCTAACAAAGAAGCCAAATGACCCCCATTCCAAAGGGGGGGACCCGTTCATCCGTTTCTATTTGCATGTTTTCTAAACTAAAACCAGGCTTTCTGATCCAGCCCTAAAATGGTGGTATCGGTATCGGCGAGTACCAACCAATAGGGCACCGGTACCATTCTGAGAGCCAGAAGTTTCTACCCACTCCAGGTAGGCAATAAAAAGTTCTACTGGATTCACTTTGTTTTAGTCCTGCTTCAGAAAGGTAGGCAGCAGCTTGATGAAGCCATGATGGTGATTATTTTACATCCAGGTAGGATGCAGTTCTTCATATAAACACACATCAGGCCAGAAAAGGCATCAGGGCAGCACTACTAACGAGCCTCTGTGTTTTAATCTGGAACATTCTGGGTGTAAACCTGTCTCTTTAAATGACTCCTCTCCTGCATGGCGTCTGCTGACCTTTGACCTCTGGAGCATCTCCAGGCTACGCTGCAAACCAGAAGCTTCTGCGTCTCTGGTTGCAGCCCGCTGAGGAGGGATGGTTACCTTAGTGGAGGAATCCACGGCCGCCCCTCGGTCTAGAAGCTCCTGGACCAGATCCACATGGCCCTCCTTGGCAGCCAGATGCAGGGCGTTCAGACCGTTCTGGGAGGAAAGGGGAGAGGCATCAGAACCATCCAGACTCACCACTTCTACATCTTCTAGGTCTACGGCTAAAGCAGCCATCTTTTTTGAGCCTGACATGCGGCGTATCGAAGAGGGATGAACTCCGCTGGATCGCTAGCAAGGCTATGAATAGCTGCCAGTTTCACCGTCTCATTGCTACCTATTAGAGCCAAGAGCCAGAACCAGCCTTACAAGATCCAGAACCAGCCTTACAAGATCCAGAACCAGCCTTACAAGATCCAGAACCAGCCTTACAAGATCCAGAACCAGCCTTACAAGATCCAGAACCAGCCTTACAAGAGCCAGAACCAGCCTTACAAGATCCAGAACCAGCCTTACAAGAGCCAGAACCAGCCTTACAAGATCCAGAACCCCTGTGACACCAAGCAACCCCTCTGAGACCCAGCAGAACCCCCCTAAGACCCAGCAGAATCCCCCTAAGACCCAGCAGAACCCCCCTGAGACCCAGCAGAACCCCTCTGAGACCCAGCAAAACCCCCCTGAGACCCAGCAGAACCCCCCTGAGACCCAGCAGAACCCCCCTGAGACCCAGCAGAACCCCCCTGAGACCCAGCAGAACCCCCTTGAGACCCAGCAGAACCCCCCTGAGACCCAGCAGAACCCCCCTGAGACCCAGCAGAACCCCTCTGAGACCCAGCAAAACCCCCCTGAGACCCAGCAGAACCCCCCTGAGACCCAGCAGAACCCCCTTGAGACCCAGCAGAACCCCTCTGAGACCCAGCAGAACCCCCCTAAGACCCAGCAGAACCCCCCTGAGACCCAGCAGAACCCCCCTGAGACCCAGAAAAACCCCCTGAGACCCAGCAGAACCCCCCTAAGACCCAGCAGAACCCCCCTGAGACCCAGCAGAACCCCCCTGAGACCCAGAAAAACCCCCTGAGACCCAGCAGAACCCCCCTGAGACCCAGCAGAACCCCTCTGAGACCCAGCAGAACCCCCCTAAGTCCCAGCAGAACCCCCCTGAGACCCAGCAGAACCCCTCTGAGACCCAGCAGAACCCCTCTGAGACCCAGCAGAACCCCCCTAAGACCCAGCAGAACCCCCGTGAGACCCAGCAGAACCCCCCTGAGACCCAGCAGAACCCCTCTGAGACCCATCAGAACCCCCCTGAGACCCAGCAAAACCCCCCTTAGACCCAGCAGAACCCCTCTGAGACCCAGCAGAACCCCCCTGAGACCCAGCAACCCCTCTGAGACCCAGCAGAACCCCCCTGAGACCCAGCAGAACCCCTCTGAGACCCAGCAGAACCCCTCTGAGACCCAGCAGAACCCCCCTGAGACCCAGCAACCCCTCTGAGACCCAGCAGAACCCCCCTGAGACCCAGCAGAACCCCCCTGAGACCCAGCAGAACCCCTCTGAGACCCAGCAGAACCC